CAATGCACCTTCGGTTGCAGGGCTCCATCCCCCGCCCGGGGTCAGGGGTGCAGGCGGGAGCCCCTCTTCTCAACATCGATGGTTTCTTCTCTGTGTGTCTCTCCCCCTCCCTTCCCCCTCTCTCTAAAAGTCAATGGAAAAAATATCCTGGGGCGAGGATGAACAGAAAAAAAGGAAGGAAACTGTTTAGATACCCGATGCCCACAGACATCAGAAACGGCCTGTGACCTCGAGGGGCCGGTGCGTCATGTTCTGGGTGATTTTAGACCCTTTTCATGCTTCAGGGAGGAGGCAGGGGGGGACCTGGGGCCACACCAAGGATGAGCCAGCGCCGAGTCCGGGGCCCCAGGGTCCCATCGGGGGTCCTGGTCGTGGCCATGCCTCCCTCCAACCAAAGCCGCCGGGACCCCCACGCCCCAGCATCTCAGGCGGCTTCCAGAAGATTCCGAGGCCTCCTCCTCTCTGGCCGTGGTTCCCAGCCTTCCCGTGGAAAATCCCGGAGCCGGCCATTTCCTGTTTTTGTTTGGCTTTGCTCCCCCACGGGGTGCCCTTCGACCTTTTGTCCCTCGTCCGTGAACCTCAACTCAAGCTGGGAAGCAAGTCCCCACCAGTGGTGGTTGCAGGAGGTTCTGTCTCAGCTCCCTGGCTTCCTGGGTGCGCTCAGCAAGCCCCCTCTCTCTCTTTTTACTGATTTTTTAAAAAATTGATGTCAGAGAAGAAGGCAGAGGGAGAGAGAGAGAGAAACATCCATGATGAGAGAGAATCATGGATCGGCTGCCTCCTGCACGCCTCCTAGTGGGGATGGAGCCTAAAACCCCGGGCCTGTGCCCTGACCACGAATCGAACCCTGACCTCCTGGCTCCTAGGTCGACGCTCAACCACTGAGCCACACCGGCCGGGCAGCAAACCCTCTCTCTTAAGGCCCCGGTTGCGTCCTCACCCAAAAATGGGAAACTAAAAAGACTAAGAGTTGGCTCTTGGGGGTGTTCGCCCAACAGAATGGAAACGCGCGCGTGAGGAGCACTCGTTCCGAGTCCTGACGCCTTTAGTTCGGGGCCAAGAGTCTCCTCTTGCTTTGTTTTGACGACCGGACTGGCCAGGAGGCCCGTGTCCCTCCTCCGGCCCCACATTCCCGGGATTCCTGGAGCCCGGGCGCTGGCTGGACGCCACTTTTCCAGGACTCTTCTCGGCTCTGCAGTCCCGTTCCCAACACGGTCTCCTTGCTGGGCCCTGTCTCTGCCTCGCACGCCGGGGGGCAAGTACCCGATGGGGTGGGGGGCGCAGGGCAGGGAGGCCGCCCCCCAACCCCGGCCAAAGGGGGGGGGCGCAGGGGCAAGGGCTCTCGGTCTGTGGAACAGGTTGGAAACCCCAGCGGCCCCCTCTCCAAAGGGGAACACATGACCCAGACAAAGGAGGTGCTAGCCAAGTGCCCCTTTGACGGCGAATTTCCCCAAACACATGTGATACAGACAAAGCAATAGGAAGAGATACACCAAGGAACTTTGTATTTATGTGCCAGCCCATGGACACACACGGGCAATAGGGCGGTGAGACAGGGGCGGGGGGGAGCTGGGTAGAGGGAGGTAAAGGGGGAGAGGGATGGGAGATATCTGTAATACTATCAACAATAAAAAATATATTTTTTTAAAAAAGAGGCCCTAGCCAGTTTGGCTCAGTGGATAGAGCATCGGCCTGCAGACTGAAGGGTCCCGGGTTCGATTCCGGTCAAGGGCACATGCCCGGGCTGCGTGCTGGATCCCCGGTGGGGGGCGTGCAGGAGGCAGCCGATTGATCATTCTCTCTCATCGTTGATGTTTCTCTCTCTCTCTCACTCTCCCTTCCGCTCTGAAATCAATAAAGATATTTAAAAAGGAAAAAAGAGAAGCGGCTATTGGGAGCAGTGAAGGGCTCTGGGTGGGCTCCGGCTCCCCGGGTGACCTTGGCAAATACACTGACCCTCCCTGGACTCGGCCCTGCTCTCCCTGAGGCCGCGAGAGGCGCACGGGGGGCCAGGCCGAGGCCGGGGGAGCCCTGGACAGCCAGCTCCCTCGCTGTCGGCGGGGCTCGACTGGCTCTCCCCGAAACCCTACCCCGAGGGAAGGTCAACGCGTTCGCATCACAGGAAAATCTGACGTCTGCTCTGTTCTCTAAACTGTTTTCCGTTTCCAAGAGATGCTTCACCTTGTTAATAAGCAAAGGCCTTGTTTTTCCACCTTCAGTCCTATAAACATCAAAGGGGGAAAAGCCTTGTGATCCATCAAACACCGGTTCCAGCATTTTTAAAAAGTCAAGGGGAGATGAAACAGATGACCCTCCAGTTGAAAAAAAAAAGAAAGAAAGAAAAAGAAAACGTTGCCTCACTCCAAAACCCGTAATACCTTGAGTTATCGAATCTCCACTTTCTCGGCCGAAGCCTCCGGGGAATGTTCCAGAACCGCCCAAGGCCCGGTCCGATATTGCCAGGCCTCTCGGCCCCCCGAGGCGAATCAAAACCCTGAGTAAGAAAGCCAAGGTCAAACCTCAGAGGGAAGGCGGGGGAGGGTGGGTGGCTGGGGAGCGATCAACCAGAGAACCTGTGTCCAAGGTTTATATGCAGAAGCCATGGACACAGACAATAGGGTGGTGAAGGCCTGGGGTGGGGGTGCGGGTGGGATAGAAGGGGTCAGTGGGGGGCAGGAGGGGAAGGGGACATACATTATACTTTCAATAATAAAGATTTTTTTAAAAACAAAGACTCCACATTTTTTTTAAAAAGCCAAGGTCGAAGACAGAATGCATGTCAGTGAAGCCAGAATATAAAATTCAGATCTCTGCCCTGGCCGGTTTGGCTCAGTGGATAGAGCGTCAGCCTGCAGACTGAAGGGTCCCGGGTTCCATTCCACTCAAGGGCACATGCCCGGGTTGTGGGCTCGATCCCCAGTGTGGGGCGTGCAGGAGGCAGCCGATCCATGATTCTCTCTCATCATGGATGTTTCTATCTCTCTCCCCCTCTCCCTTCCTCTCTGAAATCAATAAAAAATAATTTAAAAATAAATAAATGGACTAAAATTCAGGTCTCTGACTATATATATATATATATATAATTTTTAAGGGGGCCACAATCAGGGGGAAGGGAAC